GGGGACCGCACGGTCTCGAGAATAGTTGCTTCATTTTATTTAACTACAAAAGCCTCCGCTTGTGCCATACTTGACAAAACCGTGTTGCGGTGTCCTTTATTAATGTCCTACTCGTGTTCCTCGAGTCTAATAGGTAAACTCCTTGTGACTTCAATACAGTCCTTCTTAACTCCTAGCTGTTGGTTTTCAAACGGAATTTTATACACGCTTGCTTTTTCTTCCTTCTTAAGCTTGTCGTTTCTGAGAACACTATACGAATTAGGAGCTCTTTTGTAAACAATTTTGGAGTGTTTCTTTTTGTCTGAAACTTGCTTCGTGATGTCCTTGATGTTTTTATTATACGTGAACTTGGTGATTTTTAACTGATTTGCCCGGGTTCTTAAGCTTTTGCCTCTTTCATAACTTTTAATTAGCCCTTCTATTGTACTCTTCCTATAACCCAAGTTCGAAGCTACATCTTTGATCCTATTAATCTCCTTAACCTTGTCTAGTACATTAGAGCAATAGGAATACGCTCTTCTAATGAGTCCACGAAATGCTGACATTTTGTATCCATACGGGTCATTCGAATTAGCTGGTATGTAAAGAGAGGACTGTGTGTCGATGCGGATGGATTAGCTTCTGCGTGGAAGTTCTTCATAAAAGAAAAATTAAAATATACAAATTCTTAGTCCCCATCTGCCCTTAAATTGCGATGCCTTTTTATGTATTTATTTTATTTTTGATCTATTTGATTAGTATTATTTATATTGTTACGGCTTCAACGTATTTACTATATTTATTTTTGTTATTGATTTGTTAATTTATTTATTTTTCGTTTTATCTTTGAATTTATAATGATCGAACGTTCCATTTAGTACAGTTTTGAAATACGTTCGAATGCCAGTTCGGCCGAAGATGGCCTATTCCATTAGGCTGAAAACGTTTGTGTTTAATTAAATAACACCTTCTATCGAAGTCGTATTAAGTGTTTTTAAAAGAAGCCGAGTTTGATATTTAATTATCAGAGTGATTTTACGTAATGAGATTTATACGAGTGTTCGTATCTGTCAAAATGTTTGTTAATTCAAGCAGTTTTCCGGATTTATTTTTCACGTTTGTAACACCTAAATGGGGTCATTTTTCTATAAGTCCTTCCGGGAGGCATCTCTCTCGACGGATCGCTCACTGGCGCGATGCCCTAATCCGAATAACACAAAAGAAAATGGGAACAGTCGCGGAAAAACTTAAACACAACAAACAGTGTAGTAAAATAATTTAATGAGTCGACATTATTCTGTAAGAATTTAACATACTTTCAATGAATTTCTCGAGAAAACATATTTCCCAGAAGTTTTTGAATTATTATTTAGAAAATTATAAAATTAAAAAAAGCGCGACCCCCCTTGACGCGGCCGAAGTTGCCATCTGTTACCTGTAAACACAAATATCTATTATTTTTAAATTTCTTACCCAAGCCGGGACTCGAACCCTGGTCCCGGAGCACGACAGTCCACTTCCCTCCGCACGGGCCCGCCAGGTCGCGCTGTCATAACCACTTCGGAACTCATACTTAACCTATCCAATTTCGAAATTTCTCTCCGTTGCAACCCGTCGGCCCGGGTTGAATTTTTGTCGATGCCTAACGAGAATTTCCCGTTTTTGAAAAACATAATCGTGGCTATTGTATCGTCCGAAATTATTTTTTTTTTATTTTGCACAAACAATATACAGTTTAACCCGATTATAACGTCATCGGATGTAACGACAATCCCAATATAATGTCAAATTTTTATCGGTTTCACGATTTTACTATACTAGATAATGTTAAAAAAAACCTACTNCCTGTTTTTTTTTTTTTTGAGATTTTTGGTGACCTTTTTACATATTATCTGCATATAATACATAGTTTATCTGTTATGAATGAATCTAATAATAATTATTTGTTGACATGGTTTATGAAAATCACACAAATAAATAAGTAATTTGTATTTTTCAATACAATATGGTATTCTCGATAGATAAGTCATAACAAATTGGTTGAGAATAAGATTGCTGAGAACAAAAATACTGTTAATTTACATACATGCATATAAATTGAAGTAAACAACAACAGATTATTTGAATGTAAATTTTTTATCTTTATATAGTATAAGCTAGTTAGATTATCTTTTACCTATTTCTATCTATTCCAAAGTAACAACTGTTCTCAGTAATGTTCCTCTTTAATAAATTAATAGAATATTATAAATTAGTTATATTATATATTTAAAATGAATATTTTGATTTTTATATTTAATATTTTTAAATAATTGAATCAAAGAAAGTTCAAAAACATTCCTAAATAAATATTCTATGCCTCTAAATGTCAAATTTATTTATTGAAAAGATGCTCATTTATACAAAATTCTGAATTGAATGTTTTCTGAATTCTTTATTTCTATTTCTTTTGTAATAATAAACAACAAATTATATATATATATATTTGTTGATAATGTAATAATTAGATAAATTAATAATCTGTCATTTAATTTTAAAAAATTTAGGAAGAAGAATAAAAAAGCCAAATCGAAACGAGAGGAAGAAAAAAGAAATAATCAGATCGATGAAGAAGATATCTCTTCGCACGGTAATGAAATTTATGGATTAATTTAAACTTTAAATTTTTAAGTGAGGAATATATTTAATTTAAATCCGCGCGGAGCGTGACGAGCGCTTTCCCTTCGACAGCGACATAGTGGTGAATTATATCGAAAATAAGTAATAAATAAAAACAAAATGACAGAATATTCGAGTGTTCGTCTAGGAAGATTGAAGTTTAAAGGCGATAAAAAGAAGTAATATCGAGTTTTTGAGTATATATTATTATTATTAATTGATTATGACAGTTACCAAATAAAAAATACATGTTATCTGGTATAAAGTTCATTTATTGGTTTATATTCTAGTGTTATACGAGTTGGCAGACATTGACTGTATGTTTATGTGTGTACAGTCGACCCCCTATAACACTGTTGATTTTTCCGTTTTATATGAATTCCATGTTGTACGAGTCGCTTAGATTTTACAAATACGTGAGCTGTTCACAGCCCAGCACACGTATTTGTAAAATCTAAGTGACTCGTACAACAAGGAATTCGTATAAAACAGAAAAATCAACAGTGTTATAGGGTGGTCGACTGGTAGTCATGTGCTTCAGTGCAAGCAATAGTGAGCACCTTGGGGCAAGACCACACTTCTATGACTATATAATCGAAGCCGGTTAATGTCCAGGGTCGTAGACCATCATGGCGGCTCTTCCTGTTTTAGCCTCGAAACCAGACCGCTTTGGAGACGACGCGAGCGAACGGCGGCAGTTGCTGCGCCGCGGCAGCGCCGGCGCTGATTCCAGCAAACAAAAGCAAACAGTGGGGACGCACGTTCTAACCTAACCTAACCTATTCTAATAATATAAACGGTAATAATTATGATAATTTATTAGAATAGGTTAGGTTAGGTTAGAACGTGCGTCCCCACTGTTTGCTTTCTTGTCTTTGCTGGAATCGGCGATCAGCCGCCATGAGTGTACGTATCTGGACTTTAACCAAAATAACAAAATAACATGTTTTTTTTTTTTTTTTACTCACCTTTGTCCGCACTCATTCGCCAACTCTGGCGTGACGCGCAGGCGCTTGCGTCGTCACGTCACACGTCGCGCAGGCGCTTGCGTCGTCACGTCACACGTCGCGCAGGCGCTCGCGTCGTCTCCAAAGCGGTCCGGTTTCGAGGCTAAAACAGGAAGAGCCGCCATGATGGTCTACGACCCTGGACATTAACCTCGAAGCCTATGTGGTCACCTGGGCTAAATAGTTAAATGCGATAGTCTTAACAGAGTGATGAGTCTCCCAATGGCAGTAGGAAGTAGGCCGATTTTAGGGGGGGTCATATCTCACCAAGGGTCACGTGTAGTGGTATGGTTTCTTTGACTTTTGCTCCTGCAGGTAAGGACCCGGCAGTGTCGTTCGGAGGTGAAATCGTACCGATTCGAATATATAAACTGACCTTTAATTGTGAATAAAATGTTGCTTGATTATTTGTATATGTGGCTTTTAACATATGTATATTTAAATACACTGATAACCTAAAGAAATTTTAAATGACAAATTTGGTCAAAGAGTAATGGGCTTTAATTAATTAACAGGATGATTATGATGATAAATACACTATGGAAATTTATGATGAAATAAATTATTTCTATTGGAATTATGACTAGTATCAATAGTATCAATCACTTGGCTGATCAAAATAAAACAAATCCCTGTAGTTTTTTTTTTTTTGAGATTTTTGGTGACCTTTTTACATATTATCTGCATATAATACATAGTTTATCTGTTATGAATGAATCTAATAATAATTATTTGTTGACATGGTTTATGAAAATCACACAAATAAATAAGTAATTTGTATTTTTCAATACAATATGGTATTCTCGATAGATAAGTCATAACAAATTGGTTGAGAATAAGATTGCTGAGAACAAAAATACTGTTAATTTACATACATGCATATAAATTGAAGTAAACAACAACAGATTATTTGAATGTAAATTTTTTATCTTTATATAGTATAAGCTAGTTAGATTATCTTTTACCTATTTCTATCTATTCCAAAGTAACAACTGTTCTCAGTAATGTTCCTCTTTAATAAATTAATAGAATATTATAAATTAGTTATATTATATATTTAAAATGAATATTTTGATTTTTATATTTAATATTTTTAAATAATTGAATCAAAGAAAGTTCAAAAACATTCCTAAATAAATATTCTATGCCTCTAAATGTCAAATTTATTTATTGAAAAGATGCTCATTTATACAAAATTCTGAATTGAATGTTTTCTGAATTCTTTATTTCTATTTCTTTTGTAATAATAAACAACAAATTATATATATATATATTTGTTGATAATGTAATAATTAGATAAATTAATAATCTGTCATTTAATTTTAAAAAATTTAGGAAGAAGAATAAAAAAGCCAAATCGAAACGAGAGGAAGAAAAAAGAAATAATCAGATCGATGAAGAAGATATCTCTTCGCACGGTAATGAAATTTATGGATTAATTTAAACTTTAAATTTTTAAGTGAGGAGATTTAGATGATCTTTATTTTCAGAATTTAAAATTGGGAAATAATATGGATAATCTTATAGTAATCTATTTTAGGTAAAATATATTCATTAAATATTTAAAATTATGTAATAATCACTCAATGCATTTATTAATTATATAATAAAAGGAATTCAATGACTTTAAATCCATAATTTTAAAATTTATTTAATAGTTTAAACAATTTTCAGTTGTAGAGTTTTCAGAAGTTTATATTTATAAATATAATTTTATTAAATTTCTTTAAAAATTAGTCATCATAATTATTAAAGAATATAGATGCGATAAATTATAATAAAAATTTACTAAGATTAAATTTCCTGAACACTCTCTGAGCAGAATTTAATGAAATACTTTTGTAATCTTAGGTGGTTGGTGGCCCGTGAAGACGTTTGACGATTTTACAGGAGCAGTTGCAATCGAGTTGTCTCCTCACTGTTACATTAAAGCATTAGACAATGGTTTATTTGTACTCGGTGGTCCTCACGTTGGAGGTAAATTTAATTATAAAAGCTTAAACTTTTTATAAAATGTGCAAAATAATTTATGTTTTAAGTTGATTGTAACCTCTTTGGTTATGCATGCAATCTTCAATAGATTAGTGTTAAAAGTTTAGTGTGTTTTGCTGAACAATCTGCCATTTTATCTAACTATAATAAGGCTAATTTAATAATTAGATACAAAGTAATTTGACTATAGGAGGTAGACGATTAGACCACTGTCTAGTCAAATTATATTATATGTAAAAATTATTAAATTAGCCTTATTATATCCTGATAATACAGCAGATTGTTTAGCATTAATTAAAAATCAGATCTGTGGATTTATTGTTTAGTACTTTTTCTCAGGGAAAATTCTTTTCAAAAAATTTCCTGAAAATGAAAGTAGATAGAACCAAACAGTTTTTTGCATTAGAATCCTGTTTAATTCTTCTGTTAACATACAGTTCAGAATTTTGAAAATCTGTTAATTTTCTACAAATTTTGGAGAAAGGATTTTTCCATAGAAAAAACATTAAATTTTTAACATCATCTGCTGGAACCTGCATACAATTAACTTTAATTAAAATCACTTTTATATGTGAAGGTGAAGGTCCTTCTCCCGAAGAAATTTTAACAGCTATCAGATTATCAGATACAAAAGTCGCATTAAAATCCGGTTACGGCAAATATTTAGGTGTATCTGTCGATGGTATAGTCATGGGACGATCTGACGCTATTGGAGGCTTGGAACAATGGGAACCTGTATTTCAGGATGTGAGTATTAAATTTTTTTGTCTTTTACAATGTAAATTTATTAACTTAAAAGCCAATTAAAATTTACTCAAATATATTTTCTTTTTATTGATTATTAAATAAATATTGAATACTATTTTTGTTTTTGCATACTGAATTTAATTAAATTTTAATCTATCTTACAGTATAAAATTCAACTCTAGTTCTTATTATCCAAAAACTTTTTCAAGTATTTCAGCTTTACTCTTCATTTCTGAAGCTTTAAAAGTTTATTTCACTTTAATTAAGTACAAATCTATTGATTTAATGAAGCAGATTTTTTAAAAATTGAATTAATAGATTTGTACTTAATTAAAGTGAAATAAACTTTTAAAACAAGAAAATTCAATGTTCAGCGGTTATTTACTTGATTTAATGAAGCAGATTTTTTAAAAATTGAATTAAGTAAATAACCGCTGAACATTGAATTTTCTTGTTTTAAAATAACCAGAAATCGATCTAATTAAGTATCATTAGATTTTCTAGTTATATTTAATTTAGCTTACAAAGCTTAGAATAAGAAAGAACTGAAACATGGCAAATTATTGGATTATCAACTATGAAGCATCCATTTTTCAGTGCACTTTGCATGCGTATAATGGAAATGACTACACTGGGGGTGTCACATTCTTCTACATGGTTTCTGAGTTTTGATGAAACATACATTAAGCACTTAATGCTTTTTAAGCTCTGTAAAGGTTTAAATGTGGCTCGGGCTACAAGAAATATCAGGGACATTTATGAAAATGCATTGAGCAAACAGAAGTGTCGTCGATGCTTTGCAAAATTTCAGTTTGAGGATGTCAGCCTTAAAAGTCATCCATGTAGAGCTACCCTAGTGTAGGTGAATGATGAGACATTACAAATCCATATGGAATCCAACTTGAGGGAAATATTACATGAAATGGAAGAGATTTTGAAGTGCTCTCCTGAGACAGTACAGAAACACCTGCAAGAATTGGTAAAGCCTAAACAATGATATTTGAATGTAAAGAGTTTTTGTCAAACAGTAAAAATTTTATTTGTTATAATATTCGAGGAAGATTCTTTTTGACGTTTTATTCATAATAACTCAAAAGTGAAAAATATTTTGGACCGAAACTACTTTTAAACTTTATTAAATTAAAAATACCTCTTTAATTCTATTAGTTAAATTTAAAAAATTATTTGTTTACTTTTTTTTTATAAATTCTGTTTTGTTTTGCTAGCAAAATGCTTTTAAAAGTTCTTCTAGATTAGATTGTTTATTTATTTTATAATATTAAATTGTTTAATGTACTTTCTCACCACACTGAGTTGTATATACTTCAAATACACAACGATCTACAATTAACCAATAACGGCATGAAATTCTTCAAACAATTGGCAAACGTTTTCGATTCTGAAGAAGAGCCCAGGAGGGGAATTGAATACGTTCGCCAATTTTTTGAAGAATTTTATGCCGGTTATTGGTTAATTGTAGATCATTGTATTAAATTGTTTATTTTACAGGACAAATTGGCAATTCTCGGTTCCAATGATTGTTTTATTTCTGTAAACGAAGAAGGTGATATTGTAGCTACAAATAAAAAAGTGACAGAAAATGAAATTTTACAGGTAAAATAAATTTTTGTATCTAAATTTTGCTTAAAATTTTATAATTTTTTATGACTATGAACATAATTTTTTTTATGNCCGAAGTTGCCCCGGTCTCCCCTATATTTTTTAGTTGACTGATGAGGGGCTTTACGCCCGAAACGTGCTGTTGTCACGTATCAACTAAAATGATGGAAATAAAGCCAAGTGTTTATTTATAACTCAAATGTGAGTTCGAAGTCCAATAATTTTTTTTATTGTAAATTTTTAATTATATTTTAGAATATTTGAATAATTTTTATTTTATAAAATTTTTTCTGATTGAAGTATAATATCTTACAAACATCACAAAATTTCCAAATTAATGGTTTGAATAGTAATGCTAGACTAATATTTGATTCATTCTATTTGAAAACATAACATGGAATGTAAATAATCAAATATCAAACCATAGGATTATGGAAGAGGTTCAAAGAATTATGAGGGAGTGTCATCACATAAGAAATCAAGGTTACAAGGCTGCAGCCATATACGATTCACATTTAAATTTAGTTATATCAAGTAGAAAAAAATTGTTTGTTCATAAAGTGATAGTCGACTCTGCCATCATCAACTCTAGAAAAAATTATAGTAGATTTGATTATGACTAACATTTTATCAATGTGTATTCTGTCATTTGTGATTTATTTAAATAAGTAATCAAAAGATGAGTTTATGGAAATGCTTTCAGAATCCAATAACATTACTTTTTATCTAAAAATATTTTTTTAAAAAAAACCAGCAACAAGTTACTTAACTTCCTTGGCAACATTTGGTAGCATCATATGTTATATTTTATTTGAAAATCTTTTTATATTTTTAATTATTATAAAATGGCAAAAAGCTTAATTTTGACGGTAAAGATGGGTTTTATATGAAATTGTAAATACTAATAATGAGTAAAATCATCATTAAGGTGTTGGCCCAATGCTCCAAGGGACCCGGGAACAAATCTGGATGGTCAAAAATTACCAGGAATTTTTTGTGGGTGGTCTGTCCCAGATTTGGTGGACCCCATCCCTCACCATCTGGCCAAACCCCATAATTGGCTTGATTGAAAGGTCCTCTTAGTTGGCCATAGGACAGAAAGAGCAAAAAAAATTATTTGATGATCAAAGTTTTAAATATAATAATATGAAAACTTTTCATAATATTTATATTAATTCAATTCTTGATCAGAAATCGCATTATTTTTAAGTTACATTGTTGGGAGGGATTCCTGTATTTATGCATATACAAAAACTATGCATAAATGCAGATTGCGTAATAAAATTAACTTCTTCATATTAACTGGATTGATAACTATAACTAAATACACCAATCTAAACCTCAATAATCCCAGTAAATAATTTAATGTTTTACAGGTTCGTTCCATTGCATTTAAGGATAATACCGAAGGTGACAACAGGCCCGACGAGGAGAAAGGAACGTTACAGGAATGCGAAGTAAACTATGTGTAAGCAAAATTTTATGTCTTGTAATTAAAAATTTGCATAATAAAATAAATTTTGACAAAATGATTATTCTGTTGATAGGAAAAAGTTTCAAAGTTTCCAAGATAAGAAAATTAAAATTAGTAAAGAAGACAGGAAAAATTTAAAGAGAGCAAGAGAAGAGGGAAATCTTCACGAAATATTACTGGACAGGTTAGTATATTGCAATTATATTTATAACAAAATCAATGTTAGATTTTAATATGGTGTGCATACTAAAGTCCTTATACACTGACATGTGTGAGCAATGCACAATATCGATACATAATAACAAATGCGCCATGAAGACATAGGAAAATGAGAAATATACATTATAAATAAACATGAGAATATGCAAATCAATGCACAAATACTCATTTTACTGTCTATTCAACATGCATGTTAGCATTTCACACTTTCTATACACATTATTCATGTACTCAGGATATCTTTCCTATTAAATCTGACACACCCTATGACATTGTAATTGATCTTTTTTCTGTACCATGTGTCATTTTTGAGAGAGGAATGCTAACTTCCAAATTTTACCACAAGGGCTGCAATCTCATCTCAGCACAGTCACTTTATATGTGGGTATATAAGGACTTTATTATGACCCTGTATATATATACTGTACATACATATATAAATTTTTATATTTATTTTTTATTCTGTAGAAGAGCAAAAATGAAGTCAGATAAATTTTGTAAATAAATCATCAAAAGAAAGATTTAATTTCATCTCAGCAGTAATTGTAATTCTAATATAATAATTAAGGTTTTTAATAAAAAAAAAAAAAGACAGTTTTAGTTCATTAATTCTTGTATTATAGCAGTTTTGTTACATAACTTGATACGTCATTTATTAAATTTAAAAGTTTTCAAAAATATTTTCATAAAGACCTGTTGTTTAATGATTTAAACTGCTTATTGGATTCATCAGGAGATAGATAAAGCCAAACTGCAAACATTAATTACAGTATTATAATTCTATACGATAGACCTACTTATTGTTATCACACTTAGTGAGTTCCAAAGCTTACAGGTTAAAATACACGTATTGTAATTGGAGTTTCAGTTATAGTCTTTATTAGTTTTCAGACAAATAGGCAAATGGCTGTCTTTTTGCACTATTCACCTTGATATTTGGCCAATAATGCATAATAACCATCAACCAATGCTTTAAAAGTTAACCATTTTGATTGTTATTTGCTTAGCAGTTTAAATTGTTGGTATTTATCACTTCCATTATACATCAGCTGTTGTTAACAAGGTACATACAAAAAAAGGCTGGCAAATTACACTACATGAATTATTATTAATTATTAACAACAACTAAGTCTTTAAGGTCTTCGAGTCATATATTTTTTTGTTGGAATAAATTTCTAAAAATCAGAACTTCTGCTAATTGTAGACTTAATATTATCGGTCAATTATTAGCATTGATATTGACAAGTCCAACAGTGTTTACAGTAAGTGTTTTTACTTCATTTTCTATTATTATTTACACATAAACAGCTCATATGACTGGATGCAGTTCAAATAAACACACCAACACTCAAAACTCAGCAGCAAAAAGCACATTTAATAGGCAAATGTTAGTCATTTACATCAGGTTTTAACTTGCTTAAATTTCTAATAAAATATAAACAGATTTTAGATTTTAAAAATACATTTTTAGTCTAGAACATTTTATTACAGAATAATAATAATAGAATTTAATCAAATTATCTGCCTGAAAATTACTTTTTGGACCAAAAAAAAGATATTTGAGAAATTCTTTAATTTGTGATGATCAATGTTAAAATTATCAACAATTCACTTCATCTTTGCAAAGCCAATTTTTTGCTATTAATATATTTAATATCGAATAAAATCCTCGAACTTCAAAGACACACAGTGGTACCTTATAATAGTTCCTCCTTAATTCACCAGAAGGCACATCAACGGATGAGAATGTAAGGCCCCAGATTTTATAAAAGTAACGATGTTTCGTCTGCTGGATGCCATTTTCTGGTCATTACTCAATGCATGTAAAATGCGATCCTTTCTTTAAAAAAGGATTTTCCTGAAATAAATCAATTTTAATTGGTCCCGGAATCGAATTCGGACGAGTCAAAAACCCCAGGGCTTTTTCAGGAGGGTGGTCGGTCCCGATACGTCTGTGGGTAGTAAGAGGGCAGCGGCGCCCGCAGACAAGAAAGGGTGCACAAGCTATAAAAAAGGGCATCATACATTATGCAAGAAGCTTCAAACTATTCTTCACCGCAGGATTAGCGCTTCCCTAAGGTGGCACGAGTTGCAATCCGACCTAACTTGGCCTTGAAAACAAAGGCTGTTCCTTGTTTTCAAAGCCAAGTTTTCGTCAACATACGACGAAAGTCACATGGCACAATGGACAAATACCGTTTTTTAGTTTACATTTGCAGAACAGGTTAGAAGTCATAGATTTTCGTTGTTGATGGAATTTGAGTCCTCTTGGGGATTAGGAAAAGGGAAACACAGACAAAAATGGGAACACGTGCCCAATGTACATACATGCACTCCTGTAAGAGGGCCTATTNCTTAACATCGATGAAGTAGGTTAATAGCGATATACTAATATACTAATTACATGGGATATAATAATATACTACACTAATAATGGATTTTTTCATACTTTTCAATTATCCGACCAACCCCAGTCCCCAATTAGGTCGGATAATCGAGGCTCTACTGTAGATGCAAAGAGTGGATGAAATTAGAAGTGTTCACCGAAGAGAAGGATAAAAGAAAAGGATGGGAACTCATGCGATGCCATAATCACGGACAGGAACAACAAATCACTATTGGTACTTCCTTTGAGCAAGTCCGAATCTCACCACGGAAAGCAATCATTGTAATGTACTGCTGGACGCACCAGATGAAACGAGATAAGGCAATCTACGAATCGTCGCACTAATCTATACAACAGCCGTCATTTCTAAGCAAATTATAAACCGTGGGAGCCCTTTTGTACAGTAATCTTGTATTCTTGTAGTCTGCAATTTCCTTCATGATATTGGACATTCCTCTTTTGTAAGTGAACTTAGTAACTTCTTTGTTCGTATTCTGCTTTGTCTTCTTTTTATTAGGATCTGACTATGAGCTTATTAACTCCTCAATAACTTTTGCTCCAAATCCTGACAATGGTCTGTAGATCAGGTTGAAGATGTTTGTAAAACAATAAATATTGGTTCTCAGAGACATGTATTTGTGTGTGTGTGTCATAGTACAATATTTAAAGAATCTGAGTATATATTGAAAAAATAAAATTTATATTTTATTCTAAATACGTAATACGCATACAATCAAATCAGGATATAGCATCCATGGAGTAAGTATACATGGAGTGGACAGTGAGGACAAAATCATGTTCAACTGCTGCGAGCGATCCTGGCTGTTGGGGTGTACACTATCGCCTGCATACCAACCGATCAATGCATCGCATGTTGAGACCAGTTACATGTTTGACTTTTCATCTGTTCTCAGGTCGTTATTTTTCTCCATATTTTCTAGATACACTATTAAAATCATACTTTAGATTGTTATTTTCATGTTAAATGCTCTTTTTCTCTATGAATAAAAATATACATTAACAGTTATAGTTTATATTTATCCTAAACTTTTGACCAGCACTGCAGAGAATGAAAAATTACTAATGCTGTACTGAATATACTGTATGGAATTATGTAATTTGTATATACAGAAGTAATTATATAAAGTAATTTTTATTTTTAATTGCTATATTTTCTTTCTTTAATAGATTGTTTTTTATTTTCATTACAGGTTATTTTAAATTTTAAGTTAAATCCTAAACTTTTGGTCATCTGCATATAGGCCTATATTCTAAAATAGGTTTTGTATTGTTACATTTCTCTAATGTCTGATTATATTCAGTATGTACGATGCTGCTGTATTTTTAAAATCAAATACATTATGATCCTTCGTGAATCTATCATTATGGATTATAGCGTAGCACACAAATCTTTTTATCTACTGTAAACAGTATAACTGTATAAGGCTACAATACAGAAGATTATATAACTTTATTAATAATTTTAAGAAAATAAAATGATAAAATGGTTACATTCATTTCCACGTGATAAAAATTTAAGAAGAGAATGGGTAACCAACCAGCCATACATGTGCATCCAGCTAGATAAAATAACATTCCCATCATAATTCACAAGTCCATACAGAATTATTACTTGCAGATAGGGTTGGGATGGCTCGACATTTGTCTTAATTAAGGATACGAGTGTTTTGTGACAATTTAATTAAAATTTCACCTACTTTACCATTTGAAAAATATAAGAATCAATACTCGTATAATTAAGAATTTCTTGGCAATCTTTTAATAGCTTGGCTTTACTTTTAATAGGGTATTCAAATATTGCTGGATATTTCAAAGGTGGCATTCTCTCCTGTCATTATTTCACGATTTTGTAGTACTAATCGATGAAAATAAATTAGAAAACTTTTTTAAAGTATAAAATTACTAACAAAATGGGCGTTATGAACGAAATTTCTATTGGTAATTTCAAAATCAATTCAATTCTTAATTCTATAGTTCTGCAGTTTCGTAGATCTAGCATTTCTCAATGGTGGCGCTTCAGTACGAATAACCCTTATAATATTTTCTCCTTAATTCACCAGAGGGCACATCAACGGATGAGAATGTAAGGCCCCAGATTTTATAAAAGTAACGATGTTTCGTCTGCTGGACGCCATTTTCTGGTCACTACTCAATGCATGTAAAATGCGATCCTTTCTTTAAAAAAGGATTTTCTTGAAATAAATCAATTTTAATTGGTCATGGAATCGAATTCGGACGAGTCAAAAACCCCAGGGCTATTTCAGGGGGGTGGTCAGTCCCGATACGTCTGTGGGTAGTAAGAGGGCAGCGGCGCCCGCAGACTATAAGAAAGAGCATCATACATCATGCAAGAAGCTTCAAACTATTCTTTATCACAGGATTAACGCTTCCTTAAGGTGGCACTAATTGCAATCCGGCCTAACTTGGCCTTGAAAACAAAGACTGTTCCTTGTTTTCAAGGCCACGTTTTCGTCAACATACGACAAAGTGACATGGCACAATGGACAAATATCGTCCTTTAATTTCTTTTATATTTGCAGAATAGGCTAGAAGTCAAAATTTCGTTGGGTCCTCTTGGGGATTAGGAAAAGAGAAACACAGACAAAAATGGGGACACGTGCCCAATGTACATACATGCGCTCCTGTAAGAGGACCTGTTTTAGCAAGCTCATCACGGGTTCGGCCAGACCCGTAATGGGGCAGCCGGATGGCGAGAGACGGGGCCCAATGCATCTGGACGAAACACTCCCCGAAGAAATCTATTCGGATTCGATCCCGGATCCCTCGGAGCTGCAGGCTATCATCCTAACCTGTTGGGCATCTAACAATGGCTTTTATCTATCGTTTTAACAAAAAATGGCGACCCATTATCACGTGTCTCGGAAGAGCAAACATACATTACAAAAGCCACGGAGAAACGTGTTACTTTTATATCTAGGTCTTTACAAAAAGTAGTTTAAAAAATGACGTTAAATTGACGTAACGAACAACCGCGTGTTTTGAAGCTACAGATTTATACATTTATATGCGATACACAGCGTACAATTAAATTGTGTTAAAAATAAAAAATCTATTCCGAACGTAATTTAGCAAACACTCGAGCATGACCACCACTAGCATTAGTAATCTTGACAGGCATGGCGTATATAGTAGCTCCTTTGGTAGGCAGTTTATCCACATTAGCTAAAACTTCAATGCCATAAATGTTAGCACNACATGGCACAATGGACAAATACCGTTTTTTAGTTTACATTTGCAGAACAGGTTAGAAGTCATAGATTTTCGTTGTTGATGGAATTTGAGTCCTCTTGGGGATTAGGAAAAGGGAAACACAGACAAAAATGGGAACACGTGCCCAATGTACATACATGCGCTCCTGTAAGAGGGCCTATTTTAGCAAACTCATCACGGGTTCGGCCAGACCCGTAATGGGGTGGCCGGATGGCGAGGGACGGGGCTCGATACATCTGGACGGAACACTCCCCGAAGAAATCTATTCCGATTCGATCTCGGATAACTCGGAGCTGCAGGCTATAACCCTAACCTGTTGGGCATCTAACAATGACTTTTATCTATCGTTTGAGAAAAAATGGCGATTTATTATCACGTGACTTGTTTCAGCAAACATACAGTACAAAAACCACAGAGAAACGTGTTACTTTTATATCTAGATCTTTACAAAAATACTCTTGTCATAATGCAAAGTTTAGCTGGCGGCGCTAAATCAAAGTATAACTTAGCGACGCTAAGTTATACTTTCGTCCAGAAAGTGTACACTTTTATGTCAAACTGACGTCATCTCTCCGGTTTTACAATAAACAAGTTTAAAAAAATGACGTCAAATTGACGTAACGAACAACCGCGTGTTTTGATGCTACAGATTTTACATTTATATGCGATACACAGCGTACAATTAAATTATTTTTTAAAAAAAATCTATTCCGAAGGTAATTTAGCAAAAACTCGAGCGTGACCCCCACTGGCATTAGTAATCTTGACAGGCATGGCGTATATAGTAGCTCCTTTGGTAGGCAGTTTATCCACATTAGCTAAAACTTCAATGCCATAAATGTTAGCACTTAGCAAAGTCACGTGAGCGGGATAAGTTTCACTCGCCATTTCATCGAGAGAGAGAGTTTCGACCCCCACACCATAAATACTTGTGTTGTTAACCAACCATTCTGCAGCTTCTCGTGAAATTCCTGGCGTGTTTTTGAATTCGCTTCCATTCACGAATTTCTCCTTGTCGTTCCAGAATTGGCCCCATCCCGTCTTCAGGATTAACACGCTACCGTCCGGTATTTTACCGTTGACATTTTCCCATTCTTCCAAATCTTCCGGCATCAGGTTAGACACCGACCCGTTCGCTATTCTGTAATTTATATCGACCACTACGGCGGGGGCAATGAAGCGTTCGAATGGAATTTCATGAATACACCATCTACCCTCGGCGAAATGGCACGGTGCGTCTAAGTGTGTTCCAACGTGAATGCAACTAGATATGTCTTCATTTTGATACCTAAAGAATGAAACTGTAAATTATTCTTTCGGTTTAAGTAATTTAATTAAATGTTTCGAACAATTTATGCATCCGACCTACCAATAGCCATTCGGCTGGGTGCCATTGTACAACACAGTGACGTTTAATGGGGTAATGCCGGGATAAACGGGTATATTCTCGTTTAGTTCGTATGTCATGTCCAAATATTCCGCTCCTTTTGCTGTCCAAACGCAATATGTCTTCAGTAGGAGGACGTACTTTATAATAGAGACTATTCCCATTGTTATACAGTATTGTTTCGGGTGTTATCTATAAATAAAAAAGGCGTTTAACCATCATCGTATGTCTACAATCAATATACTGTACGAGATGGCTGTTAATTAAGTTCGATATATTAAGTTCGATATACAACTAAACAGAACTGTCACACGTGTCAGGTGTGTTTATGTAATCGTATTCCTAAGAATGTGGGGTAAGATTTTCCCGCCTAGAAAGGGAAAAATTGTGCGCTCCATTTGGTGTGTCGGGTCGGTGCTGACCAGGGTGTGTAGCTGTGTGGCTGGTAAGGAACCAGTGTTGTGCTTAATTAATTGTCGGGTGCCAGAGTGTTGTCCACTTGTGGAGAAATTAAAGTTCAAATACATTTTTGTTGTGTTATAAAGAACTTATGTACTGTGTTTAGAACGTGTAAATGGGAACATTTAAAACATTTCACAGTGGCCGTAATTAAAGTTTTCCTATTCAGAGTACTCAGAGTAGCTGTAATCAATAAGCGGTTTGACACCAAAGTTTGTGTACCCCTTATTGGTGAAGACATTTCTGAACGGTACTATATAAAGTTGGTGTCGTTTGTATAGGGCAAGGCGACACGTGGGCGATCTGCCGAAGGAAGAACTTGTATGAGAAATTGACCCTTATTTATGTATTACAAACCCAAAGGAAACACGAAAACCAAGTGGAAGTCCTTTGCTGAAGCACGATCCCACGACCAATGTTTATAGTTTCATCACTGTAGACCAGTGTTTCTCAACCTCTAACGAATCGTCGCCCCCTTCACTACAAAATTCCGATGCCGAGGGACAAGGCTAATGCCAAATTCGTACTGCATTGAATAGACTAGTGACAAGTATAATGTTATTTTTATAATTATTGTACGATATAACGAATAAAATATCTAATTATTCTTAATATAATGTTTTACTATATCGCCCAGAAAATTGTTTTTCGCCCCCCAAAATATAAATTGTTGCTAATCGCCCCCTGAACATGGAAAAACGCCCACATGGGGGCGATATCGCCCCCGTTGAGAAACACTGCTGTAGACTAAGCCGAATTCATAATAAATCCTACCAGTGGAGAAGTTGATGAAACCACCAAATCCTTACCGATGGCCTGCCTACCTGGAGTTTTCCGGGTTTTCGTCATGTGTGTAACACCTCAATAGAAGCCAGTTTTCCTCACAAAACGTCCTCCCGTCACAGAAACTCCCCCTTGTCAGATCGCCCGCTCGTTGCTTTGCCTTAACCGGAACGGATTTCGTATACTGAGCTTTCTTCATTTCCAGAACAAACCCTCCGTAATTTTGGTTAAATATTAAAATAATATTTCAAGAAATATATGTAAGTAAATTACAAATTTGTTTACTTTTTTCTCCTAAGATAACGATAGAAATGTGTTGGATTGCATAAGCTAAAAGTTTATCTCTAGTGTCAAAAGTTATCGCCAAGAGCACACAAAAATAGTGTAAAGTATTCGTATATATATACGCAATGCGCTTTATTTTACAGTTAAGAACAATTAGGGCAGATTGTAAAGGCAATCAAATCTCGATATAGCGATCTCGTAAACAGCGAAACTCTCGCAAAGCGCTAATGCCTACTTGTAAACGGGCCTTCCTCTTACGTATTACACAATTCTTCTGTATCTGTGAATTATCGAATTATTATACTGTATAATATATAAACACCACATTGATTTCTCGACCAATTGATAATTCTACAGGAAAAAGATCATAGCCTCTATATAAACAGCGAAATCGTTAAAACACTTGATAAATTTTAACCCTCTTCATATTGCAGGCACCGAGAACGCATTTTTCCATGATCATCGTGGATTGGCCACGCCCGTGGACTTGTTACTCTGGGGCCCCCAAAGTGGCAGGCAGGAATCATAGATTCATTCTTCACCCATCAATTTCCCTTCTTGTTTTTACAGTACAAATTATTCTGGTTGCCAGCACCGTGGGCCTGACCAAACCCGTGGAGCCTGGAAAAAACGCCATCGTAGTAATCAGAGTAGAAAGAGTTTATTATGCAATCACTTATGAAACACAGAATATAACATGTGGATGTCTTTAAATGAACACACACAAATGCATTCCTTACTGGAGGCGATGAACGAATTTAAGATGTACAAGGCGCAGCTGCGCCTTCTTCTGGAGATTTTCCCACAGTACCACAGGAAGTAAAAAATTTTGTAAGGTCTAATATTTCCTTACTGCACCCCCTCTAAGGATTTCTGGATCCACTACTGCGTACAAATGTACCACAAGGTCTTTTTTTTCTAGTGTATTTTACACGGAGACTACTGAATTCAGTGTCTACAATAAATTCGCGTCCCCGTCCGGTAGACCCTATCGTTTATAAGGCACATTGTTTTTGGGTATCTGCGTCTTGGACATTTAAATAGGGCTTTTTTTGTTCTTAATAGATTTAGCTATGCCCCTTAACCAGGGATGGCCGGATGAGAAAAGAGGGTATCGACATAGCGAAGTAATAAACAAGATATTTATGTAGTGTTTATATTTAATTTAATACGAGTTAATCAAACTAGAATAACGCGAGGAATAATTTAAAATACGAATTGCCTTACCAAGTAAATCCGCCTAAAATCTACGTCCGTGTGTAACTTCCACACCTCTTACGTCCCTATTGAATAAATAAAGCGTTCCAAAAGTCGAAATTTTGTTTATGAATTACGACGTGTGACAGACGGGTTGTTAAATTCAGCGCTTTGCTATCGCTGCAGCTAAACTGTTGTTAAACTCTTGGCTGCACACTGCTTCACGTAAAGCAAACGCTTGAGTTCGAGGATATTTCTACGGTACTTGAAGCAAGGTTCTAGAATATAAGGTTACCTCACACAGCAGGTTTAGCCACTTCCTGCCAAATTCCGGATATACGTCATCTGTAGTCGAGCCGTGGTCGAGCCACCGCTTTACAACAGTTAGCGAGGGAAGAAAATTTTGGGATTTCACTATTTTTGTTACTTTGTTGAGAGTTTTAGGATTCTTAACTATCCTGATATAATTCAGTTACATGCAACCCTGCTCTGACCCGTGAATCAACATCTGCCTCTGTTGAAGTACGATCTGTTTTCTTGGCCTTTTACGTGGGCAGTTTTCTTTAGTCTTTGCCGTTGCGTCTTTAGAATATGTGGCCGGACTGCCTGTAAAACGGGCGATAGGCTTAGCGGAGAGAGCGACCCGACTCCCGATCGCCATCGCCGGAAATGACGTGGGCGATTCTTTACAGGGCTATATCTCGTAAAGAGTCGCGCGTAGGGGTATGGTTCCTTTGGCGTTTTTGTTTCCAAAGTTCAAAAGTTATATTTACGATTTCTGGATAGCCAGATTTTTTGCCTTTCAGTATTTTCTGAATAGTTTGCACATTTTCACCGCTAGGCGGCGCTACTAGCAACTACGGTGTCGTCTGCTTAATTTTCTATTTTCTACGCATCAATTTTGAAAATGAACTTCCTTAACCCCTTCCATCACCAGGTATTTATTCAACTCTCTCTCTCTCTCTCTCTCTCTCTCCGCGACAAAAATTAGAATCTCTGTATCTTCTCCAATTTATTCTTGATTAAATCCTTATTAAGTGCTAATTGGAGTCTGGGTCCGTTCCATTTGATGTCTCTCGATCGGCTGACATTATGAATCCGAATGTCCATTTACGGGACCGTTCGCGCGACGGTGTGACGTCATAAAATCGCTGTCTCGGCTTCCGTATTCCGCGAAACACGATAGTGTCAATCCTGACAGGGCACTAAAGAGGTGCCGACCCTTAGGTCACACTAGCATTAGAAGTAGTCAAAGATAAGGAAACATGTATCGAGTGGTTACAAGATCAGGGTATCCTTTGTAAAGCAAAAAGTGTAATACAGTAGAGCCTCTATTATCCGACCCCCGATTAACCGACACCTCGATTAACCGACCGTCCTAGTCGACAAATTTCAAATGTCCGCTAGTGATGTGGCGCTACAATATTTGGCTATGTCTTGGCTACTTTAATATTATTTTTAGTGTTTTAGCTGGCAACACTCATTCGACCATGAAAGGGAGCTAGTATTTAAACGAGGCTTAATTTTCTAATTTTTAACGATACAATAGCGACGATTATTATTTAAAAAAATTTTGTTAGGCTTAACATCGATGAAGTAGGTTAATAGCGATATACTAATATACTAATTACATGGGATATAATAATATACTACACTAATAATGGATTTTTTCATACTTTTCAATTATCCGACCAACCCCAGTCCCCAATTAGGTCGGATAATCGAGGCTCTACTGTAGATGCAAAGAGTGGATGAAATTAGAAGTGTTCACCGAAGAGAAGGATAAAAGAAAAGGATGGGAACTCATGCGATGCCACAATCACGGACAGGAACAACAAATCACTATTGGTACTTCCTTTGAGCAAGTCCGAATCTCACCACGGAAAGCAATCATTGTAATGTACTGCTGGACGCACCAGATGAAACGAGATAAGGCAATCTACGAATCGTCGCACTAATCTATACAACAGCCGTCATTTCTAAGCAAATTATAAACCGTGGGAGCCCTTTTGTACAGTAATCTTGTATTCTTGTAGTCTGCAATTTCCTTCATGATATTGGACATTCCTCTTTTGTAAGTGAACTTAGTAACTTCTTTGTTCGTATTCTGCTTTGTCTTCTTTTTATTAGGATCTGACTATGAGCTTATTAACTCCTCAATAACTTTTGCTCCAAATCCTGACAATGGTCTGTAGATCAGGTTGAAGATGTTTGTAAAACAATAAATATTGGTTCTCAGAGACATGTATTTGTGTGTGTGTGTCATAGTACAATATTTAAAGAATCTGAGTATATATTGAAAAAATAAAATTTATATTTTATTCTAAATACGTAATACGCATACAATCAAATCAGGATATAGCATCCATGGAGTAAGTATACATGGAGTGGACAGTGAGGACAAAATCATGTTCAACTGCTGCGAGCGATCCTGGCTGTTGGGGTGTACACTATCGCCTGCATACCAACCGATCAATGCATCGCATGTTGAGACCAGTTACATGTTTGACTTTTCATCTGTTCTCAGGTCGTTATTTTTCTCCATATTTTCTAGATACACTATTAAAATCATACTTTAGATTGTTATTTTCATGTTAAATGCTCTTTTTCTCTATGAATAAAAATATACATTAACAGTTATAGTTTATATTTATCCTAAACTTTTGACCAGCACTGCAGAGAATGAAAAATTACTAATGCTGTACTGAATATACTGTATGGAATTATGTAATTTGTATATACAGAAGTAATTATATAAAGTAATTTTTATTTTTAATTGCTATATTTTCTTTCTTTAATAGATTGTTTTTTATTTTCATTACAGGTTATTTTAAATTTTAAGTTAAATCCTAAACTTTTGGTCATCTGCATATAGGCCTATATTCTAAAATAGGTTTTGTATTGTTACATTTCTCTAATGTCTGATTATATTCAGTATGTACGATGCTGCTGTATTTTTAAAATCAAATACATTATGATCCTTCGTGAATCTATCATTATGGATTATAGCGTAGCACACAAATCTTTTTATCTACTGTAAACAGTATAACTGTATAAGGCTACAATACAGAAGATTATATAACTTTATTAATAATTTTAAGAAAATAAAATGATAAAATGGTTACATTCATTTCCACGTGATAAAAATTTAAGAAGAGAATGGGTAACCAACCAGCCATACATGTGCATCCAGCTAGATAAAATAACATTCCCATCATAATTCACAAGTCCATACAGAATTATTACTTGCAGATAGGGTTGGGATGGCTCGACATTTGTCTTAATTAAGGATACGAGTGTTTTGTGACAATTTAATTAAAATTTCACCTACTTTACCATTTGAAAAATATAAGAATCAATACTCGTATAATTAAGAATTTCTTGGCAATCTTTTAATAGCTTGGCTTTACTTTTAATAGGGTATTCAAATATTGCTGGATATTTCAAAGGTGGCATTCTCTCCTGTCATTATTTCACGATTTTGTAGTACTAATCGATGAAAATAAATTAGAAAACTTTTTTAAAGTATAAAATTACTAACAAAATGGGCGTTATGAACGAAATTTCTATTGGTAATTTCAAAATCAATTCAATTCTTAATTCTATAGTTCTGCAGTTTCGTAGATCTAGCATTTCTCAATGGTGGCGCTTCAGTACGAATAACCCTTATAATATTTTCTCCTTAATTCACCAGAAGGCACATCAACGGATGAGAATGTAAGGCCCCAGATTTTATAAAAGTAACGATGTTTCGTCTGCTGGACGCCATTTTCTGGTCACTACTCAATGCATGTAAAATGCGATCCTTTCTTTAAAAAAGGATTTTCTTGAAATAAATCAATTTTAATTGGTCATGGAATCGAATTCGGACGAGTCAAAAACCCCAGGGCTATTTCAGGGGGGTGGTCAGTCCCGATACGTCTGTGGGTAGTAAGAGGGCAGCGGCGCCCGCAGACTATAAGAAAGAGCATCATACATCATGCAAGAAGCTTCAAACTATTCTTTATCACAGGATTAACGCTTCCTTAAGGTGGCACTAATTGCAATTCGGCCTAACTTGGCCTTGAAAACAAAGACTGTTCCTTGTTTTCAAGGCCACGTTTTCGTCAACATACGACAAAGTGACATGGCACAATGGACAAATATCGTCCTTTAATTTCTTTTATATTTGCAGAATAGGCTAGAAGTCAAAATTTCGTTGGGTCCTCTTGGGGATTAGGAAAAGAGAAACACAGACAAAAATGGGGACACGTGCCCAATGTACATACATGCGCTCCTGTAAGAGGACCTGTTTTAGCAAGCTCATCACGGGTTCGGCCAGACCCGTAATGGGGCAGCCGGATGGCGAGGGACGGGGCCCAATGCATCTGGACGAAACACTCCCCGAAGAAATCTATTCGGATTCGATCCCGGATCCCTCGGAGCTGCAGGCTATCATCCTAACCTGTTGGGCATCTAACAATGGCTTTTATCTATCGTTTTAACAAAAAATGGCGACCCATTATCACGTGTCTCGGAAGAGCAAACATACATTACAAAAGCCACGGAGAAACGTGTTACTTTTATATCTAGGTCTTTACAAAAAGTAGTTTAAAAAATGACGTTAAATTGACGTAACGAACAACCGCGTGTTTTGAAGCTACAGATTTATACATTTATATGCGATACACAGCGTACAATTAAATTGTGTTAAAAATAAAAAATCTATTCCGAACGTAATTTAGCAAACACTCGAGCATGACCCCCACTAGCATTAGTAATCTTGACAGGCATGGCGTATATAGTAGCTCCTTTGGTAGGCAGTTTATCCACATTAGCTAAAACTTCAATGCCATAAATGTTAGCACTTAGCAAAGTCACGTGAGCGGGATAAGTTTCACTCGCCATTTCATCGAGAGAGAGAGTTTCGACCCCCACACCATAAATACTTGTGTTGTTAACCAACCATTCTGCAGCTTCTCGTGAAATTCCTGGCGTGTTTTTGAATTCGCTTCCATTCACGAATTTCTCCTTGTCGTTCCAGAATTGGCCCCATCCCGTCTTCAGGATTAACACGCTACCGTCCGGTATTTTACCGTGGACATTTTCCCATTCTTCCAAATCTTCCGGCATCAGGTTAGACACCGACCCGTTCGCTATTCTGTAATTTATATCGACCACTACGGCGGGGGCAATGAAGCGTTCGAATGGAATTTCATGAATGCACCATCTACCCTCGGCGAAATGGCACGGTGCGTCTAAGTGTGTTCCAACGTGAATGCAACTAGATATGTCTTCATTTTGATACCTAAAGAATGAAACTGTAAATTATTCTTTCGGTTTAAGTAATTTAATTAAATGTTTCGAACAATTTATGCATCCGACCTACCAATAGCCATTCGGCTGGGTGCCATTGTACAACACAGTGACGTTTAATGGGGTAATGCCGGGATAAACGG